GCAAATGTAAGCGACGGAGAATAGAAATTGCCTACAAAAAAAGGAACACATCAAGCATTCACATCACTTCCACCAAGAGATGGCGAAAGTCTCAGTGCAATAACGTCTCATGTTGATGTGCTCTTACTGCGTATTACCAAAATAGAAACTCCGTAAGCATAGCCCTCGTGCTCCTTCACATTTCACTTCGTGTATGCAATCACTACGCCATCTATCAATATGCACAAATTTGTGGCGAGCAAGGGAACGAATAGGTCATAGACACAAGAACATCTCTGTGAAACATCAGCTGCATCTATTTCTTAAACTTTATGACCAAACGAAATTCAATTGTTAAAAGTCAAAATCCAACTTTGACCATATCTTTTGAAATAACTCTGGGATGCAGCTGATATTTTGCAGAGGGATTTATAGGACTGAACAGATTTTTTCCAGTGCCTAAAAAATGACATCGTAGGTAGGTGGCGCTCCTGTCGACATCAGCGCCCTCTATCGGTATGCAGCGCCATCTTGAGGCAACAAAACCTCATTGATTCATGAACCTCTTTGTCAAATATCACCTGAATCTAACTTTCCCTTGAAAAGTTATAGCCAATGAAAATAGGACCGTGACTATGATAATCCTGTATCACTGAAAATTGAGAGAGCCACTTATGACCCTAAACCTATTTCTTTGCCGCAAGTTTTTGTGCCGTTTGACTTCGTTTTGAGAGCCACTTCAATGACCAAAGTTTGGTGACAATCTGAAACATCACTTGGGTAGTGTCCCTTGTTAGTCCACCAGCAATTCCATGAGATAAAACCTTCTACATCACAATCGCGATCGTTTTCGCCATAGAGATCCTCCATCATTTTGCCTTAATTTGCTCTAATTTCATGAAATTGTAAAATTTCCACAACTAAAACTGCAGAATAAGAATGTTAGTATTGAATCCATCTCTTAAGTTGAATTAGTAGGCGCAATAGCACCTGTTCCCTTTTCACACTCTATTTCCTATCGGAAAATATCGTCTTCTCATTTTCGTTTCTAAGGAGGAATCTCTGAAGAATGAAATGGGACGTATTCCTTGCCTATCGATACAGAAACCACCTCAAACAATTTGTAAGTTTGATTATCTGAAGCTGTGGAGAAATCAAAGATCTCATTCCGGGCTCAACAAATTCGAGTCCCCATTGTAAAAAAAAATTGACTTTGGAGTTGTTAGCGATCTACGGTTCCATACTGGTGAAGGACGTAAGATCACGAGAAAATTCAACCTAGCGTCTAGCCCTCATGGCCACGGTTGCCGGTTTTCATATTTCGATGACGTTGGAGGTTCTGCATTTAAGTCGGTTCCTGACTCTTTCATTCATGCGTCACGATAAGCATATTTCCGATATGCTCTTGCAATAAGGTGAGATGAAAGCAGTCACAGCTGTCAAGTGTGAAAAAATTAAAATCTTCTTACTCACTACTGTAGACGGATCCATCACTGTAAATGAGTGACATCATCATGGCGTCCCATGTGTCCATGAGGATGAGAAGCCTAACGTTACATGTCCTCATCCGAGTGGTTATAGAAATTCTATATATTCTCATAATAGGCGTAGTTGGTGCACGAGTGACAAGGTTAAATATGCCCATACGTTGCATCGAATGGCAGGACAGTGCACGCGGCGTGTGCCCTCGTGACCTCCTCTCCGACCTAGGAGTATTCTTCCCAGACAAATTGACCTTGGACCAACTTCCATGCATACCTTTTATTTCTGCCTACCTGTTTTCCTAGCTTTTCCTTTCTCACGCGCAGCCTGTGTTCGTTCTGCATATTCCGCACTCTTTAATGTGAAATCGAACGATATTCTCCCTTCAACCGCTAGACTTCCCCTCCGTGATCGACATCGCTAAGGTCCAGTCCGTTGTCTGCCAGCTCCGCAATAGGTAAACTTCTAACCTTCCTCTTTTCTCGTCACCCTCTCGGACGAACGGTGCTTAGTCCCAAACTTAATATTTAATCATCATGTTCACGTGTTTGTGATTCTCCCATTCGAATTGTTTCGTGCTTCATATGTTTTATTACTCTCGTTGAACCGTGTAATCGACGCACGAAAAGCAGACATGGCTAGTGGACTATGAGAGGAGACCCATGCACGACGGGGAAAGCGTGGAATAATGCGAATCGACCCTCAGGCATTTCCTTTTCTTCCCCGATCGTGTGCTCCGATGCAGATCTCGAGTCAGGCAGCTACTATATTCACGAATTCACCCTAGGCCTTCCGGTTCGATGGCGTGAGACGGCTTAACAATCACCTCGATCATGGTCTAATTCATGCATAGAGGTAGGAGTTGCACCATATTTTTCGATCCGTCCTTGATCTGCAAGGAAGCCTTTCGAGTAAGGGAAGCGAAAGCCAATACTGGACTTGGCAACTCGCAATTCGTCGTGCCATGCAGGCCTACTCTGAACGCGATGGATCCGGAAATTCGTGACGTGCGAGTTCTCGAGACGCGATCCACCTCACAGAATCGGCAACGGAAACCCTGTTTCCGATGCCGTAGTCGGAAATATCTTTTTACAGTGCACCCTCGGTGGACTTGGAACTAGGAGGACGTCCCCCTTGGTGGATTTCCACCCGGAGGGACGTCCACCTGGTTCCAAATCCACAGGAGGGGGAGGGGGGATGTTCTTGTCCACCCCCAGGTGGACGTCTTGTAAGGGAGGACCCCAAGGGATCTATCTTAGCTGCACTGTAAAAAATAATTCCGACTAAGGCATCGGAAACAGGGTTTCCGTCTACTGCATGGAGTGGGGAAGTCCGATTCTTAGCGTAAACCACGTCTCCTATTTTTTTTTAACGTAATCATGCTGTTACGAAATAACCTCGGAATCCATCCCTCCAAGTAAATCAAGTAATGGAGCGTTCCTCTCATTTTCCAGAAAATTCCATTCCATAGTCGGAATCGGGTTTCCGTTCACGGAAGTAAATTTTCGTATCATTGGGGTTTTCCTTAATTGCCTTCATTATTAAAAAACGGCTCCTTTCCATTCGAAATTCTTCATGTTAAATGGGAGTTCACTTCATTACGCGATCCCCATTTATCAATCGTGAGTATTTGGTCCACCCCTTGCACGGAGAGTCTGTAATTTCTATTCCCTAACGCGATTAATTGGGTACCTCCTTTCAATCACTTTCGGAAAAGATCGCGATCCGTTCCTGCACTCTCTTCTCAAAGAGAGAACGTACTGCCGGCAGCCAGGAAATGTAGATGATATCAGTGAAGGAGAGCATCCATTGTTTTGGAGCGATTCCTCTCCCAACGGGAAGAAGAAGCTGGGACGCCCTTCATTTTCCCCTTATCTGAGAGGGAAATACGCATAAAAACATCTATCTTCTTGAGAATGAAAACCGTGCGTTTTCCGTAGTATCACGATGTCATAATTAAGGGATATCGAAGGCTACTGGGAGTCATCTACCATTCGGAATGTAAACTAAATATGTCGGGTGGCTTCCCTAAGGTGTCGATATAGAAAGGCCCGAATGATCGGGAACGTTTTTCCGAGAATATTCGGAACATTCATTTCCGACGTAAATGAGGAAAAGGATCGTTTGATTGAACTTCGGGAATTCGAATGTAGATCTCTTAGCCATAATATTTTGTGAAAAATATTGGGGAAATTCCGCAAATAGAACGACTTCGGATTTCCGAGGACAAACTTTCCGTCCATTAGAGGGTATGCGGGTTTACATGCTCTTAGTCGGAAATTTTTCCGCTGGAGACTCGGAAATTTCCGAAATTTTTTACAGTGTGACTGAAAAGTGCTCTCGTTCATCTGACAACACCGAAGCTTGTCATACACCTTTAGCCCCCCGATGACCTGCCATCGACTAAGTGTGATTTTTTCTGCCGAATAGACTATAACCCTAATTGAACAGTATGCCCTGAAGCGAAGTAACTCAGAACAAAATCCTGCCTAGCCATTGACCTCCGACCCCTCCGATCTCCCATTGAGAACCGCATCACGAGAAGGAAAAAAATTATGCTCATTAAGAAAAGGGTTTAAGTCCTTTAAGGTGACTGTGGATGCGCCCATCATTAAGTTTAACAGAATTCCAGCCCATAGTTGTCATAAGGAACCGTACACCCATGAAATAACCTTACATTATAAAAGGACCCCGTTCAAGGCAAAAAATCGACGTCCTTACCTTTAAAATCCAACACATTTTTCCAGAAATACTACAGGGTGGCCCAGAAAAATGACCGATTTTCAAAGTGACACTGGCGTAACGGATGGAGATAGAAGGCTATAATTTTCCAGGTAAATAGTCTGGTGCATGTAATTAATATATTTTATTTTTTATTTCCCTAGGTAAGACATTAAGATGGACAAGTGGAGTGTCCCTCAGCGTCCCTTAAAGCTTGGCTCTGTTTACTGGTGTTCGGACACACACCAATAGAACCTCTTGAACGGAAGTTAACATAACTTCACACAGATTTGCTTGATGGAGCAATACGAAGATTGAAGTGGTTTCTAAACGCACGTTGCGCTAACACCACTGACTTCTGTTCAAAGTACAGTTCCACTACTTTTTCACACTGAGGGACACTCCACCAGTCCATCTTGATGTCTTACCTAGGGAAATAGAAAATAAAATATATTAACTACATGAACCAGACTACATGCCTGGGAAAATACTGCACTCTATCTCCATCAGTTACGCCAAAGTGTCACTTTTAAAATGGGTCATTGTTCTTAGGCCACCCTGTATTTCTAAGATGGTAGTAATTCCCATTTAAAAAATACTTGTCGTGAAGGACTGAAGAAAATGTTTCATTGGTTCAAAATGCTGTGTAGCTTTGCCAAATACCTTAAACTAACTAAATATGATGTTAATTTTACAGCATTTGCATACCACGTTAAACGCTCGATGAAATGGAATAATGCCCTAAGTTTTGCATTATAAATTACCGCTATGAAACGGTATATTTACTCAGGGAGAGTTATTAAGACATGAATATGTGAATGTCAACAGCTGGACGAGGAGAACGGAGACAAGAAGAAAATGGAGGAGGAGATATCAGAAGAGGAAGAAGATACGGAAATCCAAGGGGAAATGCTGAAGACGAGAAACAAGACAAAGGAGGAATTGACGTTGGGAATCGAGAACAAAATGGTAGACAAGGAGGACGGGAGGAAGTAGGAGACCCCAGTAGGAGTCAAACAAATGACCAAAATGTTGGAAGACAAGGTCAAATCAGAAGAGGAAGAAGATACGGAAAACCAGAGCGAAATGATTCTGAAGACGAGAAACAAGGCAAAGAGGAAAGTGAAGTTAAGAATCAAGAACGAAATGGCGGAGATGGAAAAGATGCTGAAAAAAAAGAAGAACCAGGAAGCACGAACCAAGTAGGAAACAACAATGGAGACGGAAAAGCTGGGGAAGATGAAGGAAAACAAAACGATGGGGATGATGATGACGATGAAAATAAGGAAAAGCAGGAGAGTGGGGATGGAAAGGGAGAAATCAGAAGAGGAAGTAGATATGGAAATCCAGAGCGAAATGATGAAGATGAGAAACAAGGCAAAGGGGGAAGTGAAGTTAAGAATCAAGAACGAAATGGCGGAGATGGAAAAGATGCTGAAAAAAAAGAAGAACCAGGAAGCACGAACCAAGTAGGAGACAACAATGGAGACGGAAAAGCTGAGGAAGATGAAGGAAAACAAAACGATGGGGATGAAGATGACGATGAAAACACGGGGGGAAAAGGTGGGAATGGAGGAAAACCAACTGATGACGATGAAGATGATGAAGAAAATGAAGAAAAAGGAGGACGTGTGAATCAAAGAGGACAAAATGATGAGGATGAAAATGAGAATGAAAGCATGGAAAAACGAGGACGAAATGATAGTGATGAAGCTGACGATGAAAGCAAAGAAAAACACGGACGACCTCATCGAAGAGGACGAAAAGATAGCGATGAAGATGACGATGAAAGCAAAGAAAAACACGGACGACGTCATCGAAGAGGACGAAAAGATAGCGATGAAGATGACGATGAAAGCAAAGAAAAACACGGACGACCTCATCGAAGAGGACGAAAAGATAGCGATGAAAATGACGATGAAAGCAAAGAAAAACACGGACGACGTCATCGAAGAGGACGAAAAGATAGCGATGAAGATGATGAAAGTAAAGAAAAACAAGGACGACGTCATCGAAGAGGACGAAAAGATAGCGATGAAGATGATGAAAGTAAAGAAAAACAAGGACGACGTCATCGAAGAGGACGAAAAGATGAAGATGACGACGGACGAGACACAGGAAAATCTGGTGATGAGTCTCAGAGCATCAGATCTTTGTTCCGTAAGTTCATTATGACCAAGTCGTTGGGTAATGCATTTTGCCTAAACGAAGGAAGTTGATACGGACTCAGTATGGATTTCCTGTAGTTTCAAACTAATGTTAAAGTAATGCGTTTTTGAGGAGTAGCAGGTTTCATGTACGAACAGAAATTTAACTGTCCCATTGAATTAGAATGACACTTAAATCCGATCCTTCAGTTCATATGGAGCAGTATTTCCTTGCACATTTTTCTTCTCGTGCTTACTATATGATCTTGTGTGTTGTTGTCTTAGTCGCGTAAAGTACCTCAAGCCACACAAGCACTATCCAATCTCAAATTCCACCAACCTTTCTTTCTCACGAGCAATCTCTCATTTCGCATCAACACGAAGACTTCAGTTTTTTATCCTTACATCTCCCGGTTCGCAGTACTTGACATTAGTTTTGAGTATGGAGTAGATTGGCATTCCCCCTAACAGCACACCACGTTGAGCCCATGCTGGCTGGGAATTGGCTTGTGCCTACATCGCAGTGTGCTGTCCATTTGGCCCAAAGAGGCGCTTCCGATTGCCCTCTCTTTGGGAAAGCGGTTCTTTGAACAAACAAGGCTCCCGCAATTGTAGCGAGATAGACGCCTAAATATGATTTCAGTGGTTTCAATTGATGAGTTGCTATAACCTTTCAGTCCTTTTTATGAAGTACCTTATCTTTTCCTACAGAGAATAAAAGGAAAAATATTAGAATTCCTCGAAGCAAATTTAAAAAATGTAAGCAAATAAAAAATTTGCGACGACGACGATGACGACGAACCTTCCTTTATGGAGATATAGATAAGGGTATGATGAAAGAAGAACCTCTAATATGGCAAGCGCTTGCACAGAAATAAAAAAGAGCAATCGGTGACGTCCCAATGAAGCTTTAGAGAGTAGAAAGTGCGAACCTGATATGACAACATTCGAAGGTGGTGTACTCAGCCGGATGGAGATACTTCGAGGCAAGGTTCGTGGAAGGGGATCAAACAGTCATGCACAAAAAAAGCTTTCTTCAAGTTTCCTCTAAGCGCCTGAAAGTCATGTCACTTGAGAGTTTAATTTTGGCCCAACGTGAGTGTGCTTCCTAGGTTATTGCACTGAGTGCTCTGATTGTGATGGAATACTTACGGGAGGTCCTGACGATGTTTCCATATAACCGATGCTACCGTCGTACTGTTCGACACAAAGTTGGAACTCCACCTTTACTGCGACCCAGTGACAGATCCATTCATGTAATGCCTGATATCGAACGAATCTCTCCTGAAGTTTTTGCAAAGGTAGGATGATTTCCAGCACAGACATCTCTCACTTTCTGATGCTCGATTTCAAGTAAAACGAAGGATTTCCCCCGAGAATAGTGTGTGTCCAAGTTCATAGCTCGTTTGAGATCCTCTTTTAATATAGACTTGAATTTGAAGTTTTGAATGACATTTATAATATTGCCGCTAAGTTACAAATTTAGCACTAATTTTTTAGACCTCCACTCTTCTTCCGATCTTAGTCTACCAAGATATTTGTGTCTGTAACAAATACGAGTCGTGGGCTTGGTGGAAAAAAAAAGTACGACTGTAATTGGCACTTCATACCTCTTTCTCTTTAGCCGGACTCGATTGCTACAACCTCAAAGTCGACATCAAGGTGAGGAAATATAAGACAAATATGGTAACTCGAGACTATGCCCTACGTTGTTGCTCGATCGAATCGTGGCTTGTAATTTTCAGGCGGCGAGGGAAGCCCATTTGGATTGCGGCGATGAATTGGCAGATGAGGACCTCTCCAGAAAAGAGATGGTAAGCCTATAAGCCACCTCCTAGTGATTCCTGATTGAATGGTCGTTTTTCTACCCATTTCACGCCTAGAAGCACCGTGCCGAGTAAAAAAAACAAGCATTTCAATCGTATAAATGGAAAACTACTATTGATGGCGTGCACATTGTGACAAGGCTGCAGGGCCAATAAAATATATCAAGGACAATTTCGTAAATGTGATTTCGTCGACGGAAATTATCACAAAAATTTTCGTTGGCGATGACAAGACAAAAATAGTAGTTCACAACGAAATTGACTCAAATGGACGATAGGGAGGGTAACGAAAATTGACGAATGACGAAAAGTCACGCTCGGCTGAGTGACGAAAGCTCGATGAAGATGAATGACAACTTCAGTCAACGAGACTAACACGATAATAAATTTTTAAAATCCCAAAGAAATAAATATTGTCAGAAACTAAAGAACATAAAAATGACAAATTTGGAAAAGGGAGCAGGGGAGTTGGAATGACGATACTAATTCATGAGTTTCATATCTTCCAACTTCAATTTAATTTTTGAGCCAAGCCTCCAACTGGATGAATGAACGACCGCGAATCACGTTGATAGGAAAAAATTACATGATGGGGCTTTCGCGATTTTGCTATTTCGAGGCTAGGGGTACTGTATCGAATCTGCATAGTTCAATAGACGTAAAAGCAAAGCCTCTTTCAGGTAAAAAAACAAAAAAAGGAATCCATTCTTTCTGCAAGATTCCTTTTGTTCCTGGAATTTGCAATGTGAAATGTAGGCATGTCTGCAGGGCTTTTAGTAGACAAGGCCTTACCTATGAATAAAACGGTCAGCCTTATTCATTGTGCTGACGTTAACGTTAACTTCAGTTCTGAAAATCTTATTTAGTTGGCCCACCCTGCTTAAAATCCCGGTTAGAAAAAGTAGTAAGTTATAGCTGGACCCCAGCTGTAAATTAAGACATATTCCAACTGGACCAAGGCTACAAATTCGGACCATTTCCATCTGGCAAAGGACTGGAAAATGGTAGATGTTGTTTTTGAGTACAGGTTGTTTTACAGCTAAAAATTTTTTCAGATAACTTTCCAACTGGAATAGAGCTGAATTTACAGCTGGAATTCACCTGCTTCTGTAGATGGACCTCCGGCAAGAACAGCCAACAAAAACCTTTTCATTGCGCTAGTGGTATTGCTAATAGGAATCAATCTGGATCCGACTACTTTCCAGCTGTTACCAGCTGGAAATGGTCCGAATTTGCAGCTTTGGCCCAGTTGTAAAATTTCAACTGTGATTTTAAATTGGATTGGATAATAGGTAATTAAGGCTAGGATTGGCCTGGGTCGCTTGCCTATGAAGCCTACAGTATAATAGGAATCGTTAGACCTAGAGATAGGGCAAACAACAAAGAGATTTATGATAAGCCTAGACTTGGCCTGCAGGAGTCTGCTTTTCATGCATCATCTTATCCACTCCCTTGATGAGCGTATCACACTTTCTGCATAGGTTGAGCAGGCCGTAAATTATAATTGTGGACAAAACTGGTAGTAGGTCTACTGTTGTTCGTCCCAGAGTGAAGCTGCCGGCAGTCCATCTTTCACTATCAGTCAGTCGAGAATGTGCATTTCTCTAGAGATACTAAAGGTCCAACACCTTGGGTATCTCTTTGGACCTCGAATAAATGGAAATGTATATACTCGACTCCATTGCAAAGCTAATTTCACAGATGATGACGATGACGAGACGGAAACAGAATATTGTGACGAAATGACGAAAGAATCTGAAATAGACGAACGGAGAACGTGATGAAACGTGATGAACGTGATGAAACTGACGAAATGACGAGAATTCCCGTTACATCGAGTGACTAAAACTCGACTAAATGCCTGGCAAGTTTAGTCGATGAGACGAAGACGATAACAAAATGGAAGATTTCGGAGTAAATTAACATTGTCAAGGACCAGGACCAAGGTCTTTGTCGTCATTTTTAAATGTGGCTTTCAACTCTTCGGCTATTCTATCCACAGATATATGGGTTTTTTATTCTCATGCACATGCACACCTCACAAGCAAATTCAGCAGGTTCCCTCGAAAATACACTCGCAGACTAACCTGGAAACGTTGCTCTTGCACTTCGGGAATGCCACGTGCTCTAATCCTGTGTTCCAGTCTCGCCGGCGACGGCGATGCACCATCGAGAAGCTCGGACTCTCAAACGGCAGCGGGGGAGTGTCGATCGCAGGGGCAATTAAGCTGGTCAAAAGCGACATCCCAAGCGAGGTACGACCGGGGCTCCCCGGTGCTCCGCGGAGCCCTCCTGTGCTATATGGGTGCTGATCGGTCGTGGCTGCTTTGATGGTCTTATTCTTACTTTCTTTTTCAGTTTTTGGCTTCTCTTAAGAGCTGCTCGCGAGCCGAACCATCGGGGAAATCAAAGGTGAGGCTTAGATGAGGCAGCACGATATTGTGCATTCAAATATTTAACCTAAATGTTGAGCGATATGGGTTGACTTCGATACACAAACTCATAGTAGTGTGCCATGAAATCGATTAGAGTTTGAAAGGCTGAGTACGTTTTTCCAAAAGAACTAGCCAAATTATGTAGATGGGGGGAGGAGGGGGGAGTAAGTCATATTAATCGCTCAAAGGAAATAATTGCAAAACTTGTATTAATTACACGTGGAACAAGAACTTTTACTGGTCTGGGAGAAACTCGAATTTCACTTCTATCGCACAACTTCTTTTTCGCACTGCTTTTCTGGCGATAAGTTTTTATGTCGTATATCTGCGAACTCCTAAGATTTTCAAGTTGGAAAAACGATAATTCAGTCGTGAACTGGAATACGACCAGCCTGTCTCTTACCTTACCACTATAGCGCAGTGTATTAGATCAAATTGGCCCAGCCTTGGGCCAATATTGCAGGGTTGGTTCAATGTTGGTCCGATTATAGTCCAGTGTCGGTCAGATAAATCAGTCATTCTGCCCTGATGGACTGTCATTCCAATCTGGTATCATCTTGCACTTATTTCCTTTTTCGAATACATTTTGATTATTATTGCTGAAGCTTCACAATGGAGCAAACACTACTTGGTTTTTAGAAAAAAGGAGACACAACCTTCGGCTAAATTTTCTGGTTACAGTTTCATGCTTCAACTTTCGGCTTTTCATGTTAAAATATATTTGTCTGGAAGCTTGTTTTGAGATTCGCTCTGTCCAATGCTTAAAAAAATATTAAACCCGATTAAGTGGTAGATTTGGCAGTGCACTTGATTCCTTCGTACCTCTGATGGCCAACACGCCACGCAGATGACAAAAAGCACATACGACTCTCTTACGTGTCGACACAAGGAATCGATTGAAAATTAGACGATGTTGTACATCCTGAGAAACCAAATATAGGCCTTCATGTGGCTTTCCCATTTTCCCATCCGGCTCGCATTGAACATCTTCATGATTTTTGCAGTGGGACGCAATCCACGACTGCATGGCGGAGCGATACAAGGTCTGCCCGTGAACCCATTCCAAGACTCTATGCGCTTGGATCGACGTGAGAGCGGCCGGTGACTTTGGACGTGCATGCATCACCGTTGATCGCTTTCATGCTTCTTGAGTAAATGCACAGTTTTAAGTTCTTTGATAAATTCTTTCATTCAGTGACTGCAGGGATTATTCCTTTCTCCTTTCATTGCGTTTTCCTCAAAATGTGGATGGAAGTTTTCAAACTCTCATCTAGAGTTGAGAGTTTGAAAACCGATTGATTTGGCAGTTTCAGCAGTCCTCAATCACAACATTGAAATCAGATCGACATCGGAAGATGTGCGGAAGAGAACCAGATGCCTCATAATTTGCTTTTCCAACCAAATACATATTTCTCATCAGTCTGAGGTGTTCCATAGTTGCGCCAAAAATCTGCTTGCGACCGATGTACAGCAGTGGGAATGCTCATGACCAAGGAAGCTGAAATCTGATGAAAATCTGTGAAGAGAACGCTAATCTTTTCCGGACTTATCTAACGATCGTCGGAAAATCCTGGGATTCCTGGACTGAATGGCTTGACAGTCCATCGAGCTGCCAAGGCATGGGTTTGCGGATCTTCCGTGGTTCTTCATTCCCAGAATGATTTATTCCTTAAAATGATTGTTCCAGTGATGCAAGAAAAAAAAAGGGGGGGAGGAAATTCCCCTCTATTCCTGAACGGAATATTAACTAAGGTCCGAATGTTGAAATCTTCATTAGTTAACGGTATTTCAAGAATGAATGGATTTTTATGAGGAACAGAGCCCTTCAGCTTAATGGGCCCTTTATCTCCCCTAAATGATGTTTGTGCATTCGGACCATAGTCCCCTGAAACCCATGGTATCACAAGAAATAACCTACTGAACTGAATACCTATCTGAAAACGGTCTTCTGCTAGCTTTTTGCGCTGAATACTCGGTCTTCGCCTCAAGTCGAGTGGAAACGGAATTAAGAATTTCTCCAGAAGAAGCAAAATATACGATTAAGATGCAAAGGATTAAGGCCTCTTCTTCTGGATGGACAACCATATTATTTTAGCAAGCAGTTGCAGTCAACGTTCTTCAATGAACAGATCCAGGGGAATGATTGCGTGAATTCTTTGCTCGTAACCATGCAGCTTAATCCAGTTGCAGTGAAAGCGAGCCATTTGCACTATTTATAAAAGACTATTTCATATAGGGTGTTTCTTTGATCTATGATACATGTTGTGGACTCACAGGATCATACTTGTATGACTCTTCTCTATGTAGTGGGATAATTCAATGCCTCTCCCGACTTTGTATTCAATGTCCGAGTTATCAGTTCCATAATACTATCCACTACCTATAATTTCTCTATTGTCAGGCTAGAATAAAGAAGAGAGCAATTATCAATGGAACATAGACAAAATGCGCCCTCGACTCGGCAGAAGCTATCGTTCGGAATCACTAAAAAACAACGGTTCTTCCTAACGTCGCCAGTCTGGAAGACAGCATGGATAAGGAAGTTTGAAGCATAGAACGATGCCCCCTTCCCTCCCTCCCCCCCCTCTTACCAGAGGGGTGCTACATGCGAACCTCAAGATCTAAAGCAAGATCAGTTCCTAGGTTGCACGACTGTGGGACGCAAAACGGATTCTAATCTCCACTCACTCTAAAGGCCCTGTTACACGAGCAAGAACTTGCTAGCAAGTCCTTGTTTTCAAGAAGCAAGCGAGGGTATACACGAAGTAGGTAGACTCTAGCAAGGACTTGCCTCCACTTGCTCGAAAGTTGTCAAGCATCTGTGAAACGAAATCGAAAAGAGCGAAAACTCACACCTACTATAGATGTCAGAAAGATCTTTCGCGGGTTATTGTCTTTGTGTTCCTACAGTCCTTAACCTAGGTCTAGTCTCTGTATACCTGCAGACCATGATTTAGGCATGATTTTGTGTGACATGGCGCCACAACTCACAATTGAAGCCACGGAGGCCCTTATTACCAGCTCCCGTGATCGACCTTGTCTCTGTAATGTTATGATGTAGGAGTACCGCGACCGCTCCATCAGGGATCATGATGATATACCCTATTACGAGAGCAATATCTCTCCCGTGATTTAACTTCGAATGCACAGGGGCCATTTCGGACAAACAAGTTTCATTAACACGTTGGCGACAATGCGTCCTGATGCCAGGATGCAGATTTTTTTTCGATGAATTCAATGAATTTTTTTCTGGAACTGTTGAGAACGTTCCAGAAGATTATGATTTCGTAATTACTGATAAAAATTCCAAAAAATTCAACATTTTAAAAAAACTCGGCAAAAAAAATGTTTTCTGGGACCATGCGTCCTGATGGNGATAAAAATTCCAAAAAATTCAACATTTTAAAAAAACTCGGCAAAAAAAATGTTTTCTGGGACCATGCGTCCTGATGGCAGGACGCATTTTTTGACAAAAAAAAATGCGCGTGGTCCCACGCGGCGGACAAGCAAAAATAGGCTGGTCGTCAACGTGTTAAGAAGCAGATGATCACCTAAGAGTGAGATTTCATCTTCTTGATTCATGATTCTGATGCAGAAAAAAGTCCTGCGACGCAAAATTTATTAAAATAAATTCCCTTCTCGCGAGAGAGTCCCGCCTTGTATTGTGACGCGCAAGAAATGACGGCCACTGCTTTTTCCCATTTTTCCGAGTCCAACTTCAATGCTATTACGCGAGAAAGGCCCTTTTGATATTTAGAAAAGTCAAAGGAATACAGAGGAAAGCCATTACATAGAGTCAGTGTGCATCTGTTTCTTCAATAGGAAACGGATTTAGTGGATGAAGAATGCTAGAGGGAGAGAGAGAGCCTACCACCGCGAGAGTTCGGAAGGTAATGACGTGACTTGTGCAGGTCGTCTGGTTTTATGAAATGGATGATTTGATGGCGCATGTGTATTGCATAGTGTCTTCCCGACCAATCAGGGTGCGATTTGCTTACAAGCCTTCTAGAATTTTGAACCGATAGGAAAGTGGAAGCAAACACTTGCTGGGACTTGCCAGAGTGAAGCAAGTGGTGTGTACAAGAGGCAAGTCTCTTGGCAAGTGCTAGCTTGCAAGGACTTGCAAGCAAGTTCTTGCCTCGTGTATCAGGGCCTTAATATCCCTTTTTCAGGCGATTCTCGGGTATACCTGCCATTCAGACAACCCGCATGCTCAATGGAACACGCAGGAGCTCATGAAGGAAAGGTGAACAGGACGAGGAAGGGCGAGCGTAAGTCGTTGTGTCTCCGTTTCAACTTCTTATAGTCTCGACAGAGACTATAAGAACTAGAGGACTACGAGGCCAAATCATACCCCGAGGATAAGTAAAAATCCAGGCGGCAAGAGACCGAAAAGCGAAATGCCTTCATTCATGAAAGGGATTTCTGGCCAAAGCCGTATTGACGTATTGAAAAGAATGCTCGCTTGCATGTCTGCATGAGGCATCCGTATTCACCTTGCGAATTGACTCTTCACAGATATTTTTCATGTGACATCGATATCTTGTAAGAGTCTTCCCTGCTGGGGCTGGCAACGCACCGATCCGTTTCTTCACTTCTGCTCTGAAGGGTGAGAACGTGAATTCGATGGGATTTAACCAGGGACTGTAGGGGGGAGGAATTGAATGGAGTGAGTTGGGTATCGAGGAACGACCCTTTTGTGCACTTGAGCATTGTCCGACACGAAAATGAATTCATTGTCCGGTCCGATGATGACACTAAGTTCATCCAAAAATTCAGCAAACACAACATGTGTGAGACCTAACTCCATCGTCTGGTGGTACAAAGGTCCATGAGAAGGAACGACCCTTAAACCTGACGAGCTGACAAACTGAAATTTCTATTCGGTCTTGCATTAATGAGCAGGTTCATCTTCACATCTCTCCATCGCAGTTGCGTCATCGTGAATGTATCAAGAATGGAATCGAAACTGGCATGTGCTTACAGACACCAGACAAAGGAGGAAACGTAAGCTCCTAAATAGGCCAGAAAGTCTACAGTCGGAGCTGTTCTGCTCTCCCTCAGCTCATCGGCTGGCCTGCTTGCTCTCCCTATATATCATCCCATGCATAACGAATCCTTCGGGGGGTGCGGGTTAGTGTCATTGCAGGAAGGCCTGAGAATCATCTGTAAAAGGTATATGCGCCTTCTCGACCAGCATCGTCACTGGTATCTAGGTGGGACATTCAGGACTTACCGTGCTTCCATACATGGTTCCATCCTTACACAGGTGTATCTTGCCGAATGAAGCAGAAGGGACTCACCAACGTGTCCTTCAGAGGATTCGAGATGATTTAGTGTGCAAGGCCCCAGTAGAGTTACCACTGACTTCAAAAAGGCAAGCTGGAATGTGTGCTTCAGAGGCAGTGTAAGTGAGCAGATGACTCAACCGCCTTCATCTGGAAACATTGGAGAAAATTTTGTCATATTTTTCTCTCATTTTGCAGGGGAGTCCAACTTCATAGATGCCTTTTCCACCTGCGCCAATCATAACGTAAAAAAAATGATGCTGTGAACTGCCACGATCAACATCTTGTTCTACAACAGAAGTTTAGGTATTTAGCTGCGGTCAGCTGCTTATCTCCCGACGATCTTCGCAGCTGCCAAGGAAAATACAAAATTTCAACTCGCAGATGGGCTGACGGGTTTATCATTGAGCAGCAGGGAAATACTTTTTTTTTAACGGTACTCTAGTCGTCCTCTATTTGGGACCCTCTAATATAGACATCATACTGAGTATGAATCAATCAATAGGAGGATCCGGTTATCGGCGTTTTTGTCGCGGCCAAAATGGTCGCGGACAAAACGTCACAGCACTTTTGGTCGCTGCACTATTTCGTCGCAGGCAAGATAGTCGCTTGGGGGAAAGGGGTGAAAAAAAGGTGAACAAAAGGGTTGAAAATAATAGGGCCCTGTATTCCTCATGGGTATGAGCTGGGAAAGGGAAGGGGAGGCAAATACGTCTAAAAGTAAAGAAAAGCTTGACTATGAAGAGCATCTTTATACTGTAGAGAAGCGAAGTTTCGATAAGCTTGCATGGCGATGTGAGTTCCGAAGCTGTCAGAGCAGGATGCACACGAGAAATGACGGAGAGACCAAGTCCGACCACATGCACCCAGTACTGATCGTGCCCAAGTGGCAAATGCAGCTGGGGAGCGGACAACTGCTCCTCAAAATTATCAGGAACCCATGCGAAGACTTGTGCAAACTGCATCTACTCCCAGCCTTTGTAATGCCCTCGTGACGTGAAGAATGCGACGATCGGTATCTACGACGAAACAGTGCAACAATCAAAAGTGCATGCGACGTTTTGTCCGCGATGAACTGTCCGCGACCATTTTGGCCGCGACGAAAGCGTCGGTCACGGGAGGATCCAATGCCCCTGGCATTGGATGCTGCTATTGATTGATTCATTTACAGTCACCTGAACCTGAACCATGTTTCAAAATCGCCTGTGTCCTTTCCATATCGCCAGTTCCGCGTAATTTGAATTCCCCCTCCCTCTGCTCATTGTCTTCGGGATTAATTTTTCCCTATCGGAATATCCTAGATGAGTCTTTGAATGAACAATTTTCACGGCTAAACATTGCTGGGGGGGGGGGGGGGCTCCTTCATACTGGGCCTAGGGCATCATTAATCCAAAATTCATTTAATTATAGTCAGGATAAACTATGGAATTCTTATACTTGGTTTCAGATTGAATTCGTATCCCTCTCGAAGAGGATTATTAACAGCTCACTATCAGGAATACGAAAATTCTCCTATTGCCACATCGAATCTGAAACAGTTTGCTGCGGGAATTGCAGCACAAGAAATATTAATATATATGCAATTTCTTAATAATGATTTAATTCGGATTTCTTCTCCCAAATTTGATCGTGCACCCAAAAGCAACCTCATAATTCTCATTAAATTTCGCGCCTGATCAATCAATAGGTACCCAAGCGCCTATTCCCTTGTTTCAACCCCTTCCCGTTAAAAAATTCAATTTCCTCGTATTCCTTTCTGAGAGAACGAAATTGAGCAAGTTTCTTACCCTCTTAACGCAGAATCGCTCCAGCACATTTGAAGGTCAATCTCTTCGTGGTTGCAGAAAATACTGAATCTCGCTTTTCGAATTTCATTCCATCCCCCCCCCCCCGGGGGTTGCCACTCCTGGGGTTTTCGGGGATAACCCCGCTAAAAGAAAGATATGGACTTGTAGATCGCGATAAGTGCCCTTTTTCTGGCTTGTGATGCACCGTTTCACTATGAAAACTGAAGTTAGCTCTCGTTCTATTAGGCTCAGCTTGTGGGCTCGGCACACCCCCCAAGGTTGCCTGATATGGGACTGGAGTTATGTTGGATTCATGGCTGCTCCTGCTTTCGTATCAGTGCCAGAGTTTTCTGGAGTTTTTTTTTCAATATGTGTTGTATTCTCCTGCTGAATTCATGAGATGAGCTGAGATTGAAACAGTGGCTTGCGGTGGATGATCGATGTGGATGAATGTGGATTTGGACACGCTCTGCATGGACATCCTTGCTAATGATGGCGTCCCACATAAATTCGAATTTCGGAAGCATGCTTTACACATTACCTAGTTATGATGATTCGAAAAACTCCAGATAAGTCTAATGTTTCACGTCTTTCCTGAAATGGTTCATGGAAGTGAGAAGAGGCTCATAATCAGTCTGACATTTCTTATGCTCGGTGAGATGTCTCGAAAGTACCAAGGTTGATCTTTAGACCTAATTGGCCCCGTAAGTCGAGGGCTGAGATTCTTTGGAGCGAAAGAGGTAGATCTTAGCCTTGGCCTAATTTCAGTAAGTCGCGTAGATAAGAAGGAGGGGGGTGGGCTGAAGAAAGGAGAAAGCCTTTGACAAGTGGTTTCCATGCTGCTTTATAATTGCTACTGAACTGCTCCAATCAAATTTTCCTTTTTTTTTAATTCAATGTTTAAATTTTTTCCGCGAGATAAACTCATTTTGGTCAGGGTTGCAAGCCTTTACCCAGGAAATCTTCTCAGAAGGAAGGGAGCAGCATTTGAAATGGCTTTCTTAATAATAAAGTATAGAAAACTGCAGAGCTAAGGCAAAGCTGATTAGCCTATTAAGATCTAGGTTGCAGCCTACACTGGTTTCATGATTACATTAAAACTAGGACCAGCTTAGGATATAGAGCTCAAATGGACCTGCCAAGTAACATCATACAGAAAATACTGGTTAGCTCTTGCCAAAGTTGAATGTAACAGGAGCACACACAGTTGCTGTAATACTCCCCCTCAATCCCTACAATTCTAAAATGGCAGATAGCCTGGACTTTCACTGTCCGCCACTGTACCCATCCTAGGTATATATTCTATATAGACTCAAGATAGCTGTTAAACTGTTATGCCTAAGTCCATCCATTTCCTCTCTTTCTGTTACATGAGATTGGATGCTGTACTCAGAATTCATTGATCCCAAAAGACCATTTAGCCCTTTCAGTAGTAAGTTTTCTGTAGTCAGCTCCACACTTAGGAGTTAGTTTATTCAAGCAGTAGTGTTCTCTGAGACACCATAAGAAAGTTATTTAAACATTCAGGAACCAAATCAAGACCATTAGCTAACCATTCAAGAAACTTGTGGAAGAGAGAAGGAAATCTTTCATATTGACAAGAGCAGTTCTCAACTGACAGAAAGTAGGTGTACCCTAAAACTTGCATGTTATAATAACTCTTACTGCAACACATTACAGTTGTAGGATCATATGGATCCCTCATTTATTAGTGTTTCTTACAGATTCAAATGATGGCTAGCAGCAGCAAGTATAACCTGAAGTGGAACTCCCACCATGTGGAGACCTTCAACAGCTTTGATACCCTTAGAAGCCTAGAAATGCTTGTGGACATAATGCTTCTGTGTGAGGGCCAGTCCTTGAAAGCACACAAGTTGGTTCTGTGTTCAGGATCAGGATATTTTGAGCGTTTGCTACAGCGTGACACAAACCACAATCCAGCTATTTACTTCTTTGGTGTGGATGTCCATCTGTTGAAGTACCTACTTGATTTCATGTATATGGGAGAAGTGGATGTGCCTTCAGCAGACCTGGAAAGATTCATTGAACTTGCTGAAACCTTAGAAGTGAAGGGGCTAAAAGCAGATCGCTCCAAGGGTGTGTATAATTCAGAAACATCTGCATCTGGGATGACCATCCCTGTCTCAAGTATGCAGGATGCAATGCTTCACAAGCGCAAATCTATGTGGCCAACTTACGAGGAAGAGTCCCAATATCCTCTGAAGACTGCTCGATGCAGCCTCCGTTCACCCACCAATCCCAATAATACATCTCAGAACTCTCAGGGAACTACCCCTTTACCAAGAATGGTGCCTGAAGTTAGTGTTAATTTCTTACCAGTCCTCATTTGAAAATGCAATTTTCTGCTTTGGTTCCTACTAATCCAATAGCAATGGTTTTATCAGCTACATATTCCTAGTGTAAGTGTAATGGAGAGGACTATAGGTTCCTGGTTAAATTCTATTAATAAGTATTGTCAAGACTTTTTCACAGTAAAGTACAACAATAAAGGATTCTTTGCCTACCTTTCACAGGTCGACTGAACAGGAGGGTTGATTTGCCTAAACTTGGCCCCTCATGAAGAAGTATGAATGTTGTGGTTTAATTTTATTGTTCATGATGGTATGAATTTACATGGAAGGTTGAAAATCAACTGTTACCACTGTGAACAAGCTATTTAAAAAAATAATATAACAAATTTTGACTGGATATTTTCATTACAGCTAGACTTATGAAAATGAATATGTATTTCTGTCAGTATTACTAGACCTATTCATTTTACTGGGGAGACTAGAAACTAGAGAGTATAGATAGAAGTGGGTGGGTTGCCACAGTTTCTAACATGTAATTCTGTAGGTCACCTGTTCAGGCAGGTAATGTTCTCCCTTTGATATCAGTCACCTTTCATTTCCTTCATTTTTTTAACCATTTTAATCTGTCCATGCCAACCGTGAATACTATTTCAGACCCACATAGAAATCTAATTCACTGCTGAACATTGAAGATCCTTGCCTATTGAGGAGGGAAGCACATGAGTTAGTCTTCCTTTTTGAGTGTACAGAGGGGAGTACAGAGGAGGGCCACAAGAATGATTAAGGAGGTTAGGGGACTATCATACGAGAAGCGTTTAGAAGTGTTGGGACTGTACTCGCTCGAAAGAAGGTTAAGGAGGGGCGATCTCATCCAGGCTTTCAAGATTAATGTGCTGGAGCGATTCTGCGTTAAGAGGGTAAGAAACTTGCTCAATTTCGTTCTCTCAGAAAGGAATACGAGGATAGTCAAAAAAACAAAACAAAAAAAAACAAACAAAACAAAACAAAAATACAAAAATATATATAGCTTTAAGAGGGTTAGGCCTAGCCTAAAATTAAGGAACGCTCGACCTCGACACGTGATATCGAAATGGGTGAAATCGCCTCTTGATATCACTAACTCTCTTGACTCTTGACTCTCTTGACTCTTGAGTGTATTTTGACACCTCAGGTTAGAACTGCTAAGGAAATTCTTTTCTTGGTGTAGGAATTTTGAGCTTATGAATCCAGAAAGTAAAAGTAGACAGTTTATACTAATTAGCCCCAGAAATCAGCTTGAGAACAATGGGGTAGAGGCTGCAATATCATCTGAGCAACATGGGACTTCAAAGAGTCAGTATGCATTGGTACTATATCTTTATCCCTCTGTTTATACTCCTTGGCCAGGTACCAGAGCCATCTGAAATCATCACTCCTGGCATTCTGGGAGCAATGACATAAAGGGCATCCTTTTACCCTTTATTTCTGCAAAAGTAAGGACTCTGATACAAAGCCATCAATGTTCTAATTATCATCTATGGTATGGAGTACTGATACTTCATATTTCTGTTAATAACTGACATGCCTGAAATTGCTCCCATCATTATTTGAGGAAGTTCAATATGCTTCATATTTTATCTTTTTTCAAGAAAACGTTTCTATTTCTCCATCTTCCATGTTTCCACATTTGGCATCAACATCATGGGTTATATCACTTTGGTTTTTGATTGCTTCAGAGGAGACTAATTGGAAGAAATCGATCTTAGACTAAAAAAAAAATATAAATGATATAACAGTATTTTGTTTCAACTCAGCAAGCTATGGACCTTCACTACTCACCAGCTCACTAGTATTTGTCTTGAACTATGATCTCTTATAATTCTCATTCTTGGCTTATTTCTGCTGTAGGAAATGCATTCAAAGAATAATAGAAGAGGTGCTATAACTTAGCAGCAATGCATAATACAGGGTCTTTCGAAACTCGTGCAACCCTATATGTAAACAAGTATTTGACTGGAATATGTACACATCAGCAATTGTATTACATATTGTTGGTTTTGTGTTTTTCACATCATTTAGCAACTTATTGCCATGTTAGAGATTGATGAATGTGACTCATGGTTTCAAGACGGTGCAACCCATCATACCACTCATAAGCAAGAAACTCTGGCTGCCATGGGCTCAAGATTTGACATCACCTGACTATCTCCTGTGTGGAAACCTGAAGGAAAGAGTATACACTATCCTGCAGACTTGAAAATAATGAACCAAAGCAATGTAATGGACATCACCGGAATTACTCGGGCGACCTTACATCATATTTCTGCAAAGTTGTGTAAACTTGTCGTAATGTGCTTGCAGGAACATGGTGGTCACTTCCAACACTTGCTATGACGCTTTTATTCATGTGTGAGATGTATCCCTACAATATTAAGCCAGTTTTGATTAGATATTAAATTTGAGTCCCTAATTTAAAAAATGGTATTTTATGTATTGGGTGACTTTTGAAAGACCCTGTAGAAAATCTGTATGTTGTTACCTGGAAGATGATAAGTGGAATTTTTTTGCATACAGATTTTTTCATAAGTTGAAGAAAGCTAAGACAACCTCTTAAATCCCCTGTCATTTTTTATATCACCTTTTATTACCCTCACCTTTCCAAATCTTCTTTTCTAACATGGAACCATTGATTCTGTATGACATTTTCATACAGAATTATACGTTTTCAGAGTGCAGGTGTGAGCCAGTCCTCTACTAAAAGAATGAATGCTGGGAATCATTCTTTACCTGGTCCTAGTTCTAGTCATGCCAAGGAAGAATCTGGCATGAAAGAGGAAATTATTGATGTGGAAGAGAATTCCATTCAAGGTGAACTGAATGAGCATCAGGTTGGCATTTCCTTCTTCTCCATGTCTTTTCTAAAAATTCTGGTGATGAATTGATGTTATCTATGAATTCTTCAAAGGAGGAGCAGCAAGAGCAGGATGAAGAGTCCCAAGTCTCTTACTACCAGGAGGAAGAGGGGGCTTCTTCGAACCATCAGGAATTACCTCAAAATATACCTCCTGAAATTGATCCATCTGTGAGTTAAAATAAATCCCTTCCGGATATCTTAGGGAAGACAAGGAAACCTTAGGTATCAAGATTTTGAAGTTTTATTTATTTTTGGTCTTAGAAACATTTCAAACATTCAAATAATTCAATTAATATTTATTTTGTCCATATGTTGCCATGGGAAGAATGTGGAAGAAGTTGATTTTTTCATCTCAACACTATTTTCCATTCCCCCAGTAAAATTATTTATGCTCCCTTGGTATTCATTGAACTGAACATGATTCAGTCAATCATAAACTAAACCACAAATTCAGTTCTTTGCCTTTATTGTACAGGGCTGCATTTCAATTCCATGCAAGAATGCTTTTAGTGCAAAAGAGCAATTGAGGATAGTAACTAAGTGATATGTATGCATGTGTATGTATTTATTTATATCTATGCATGCCTTTGTAGGCATGTGACAGCTTTTCAAAGTGAGACAATACATATGAGTGAGAAGTGTGTAAGGTGGGGGGGGGAGATTTAGAAAGGAGAGGAGCAAATGGAGACATAGGTAAGAAAGGACTTTCGGCAGATCACAGTCATCAAGGCAATGCTTGGTATCAGTAACAAAAATATATTTAATGGCTACTATATCAGTGCAATGAAGGATTTTCATTGTGTGAAGTTACTTCAAGTTAAGATCATTCTTTAGTGGTGTTTAGCTTGAGGCTGGGGTGGATAGTGTTCTCCAGTAGAATGATAGCCATTCTCAACAGCTTGAAATGGCAGTGAGCACGTCTAGGATTTGATGAAGCTCCACAACACATGAGTGTCATGCCATCTAGCCATCTACTCAGAGGGACATCCACTTCTCCAGTACATGATGGATGTTGCACATTGTCACTGCCCAGTGCCTCCCTACTGGGGAGGCACCCATCCACTTTTTGGGTAGTATCTCTACAGGTCTCATCTTTATTAAATGATTTCCTTATTTTCAGGAATATTTTCACAACTTAATTCTGTGTAGTGCATATAGAATAATCTGAGGTTTTTTACATTCATTCCTCTAGTTTCTGATGATGTAGTGTTTTACAATCATGCCACATGAAAAATGTTGTATATATTATTAGTTCCCCTATATAAGCAATTATCTAACTGAGCATCAATGAGCAGGGGGGAAATAAGGGTCAAACCTGATTTGGGTGAGGTTAAGTGTACCCAGGGCCAATGGCAGGATATATAATTGACCACTCTTTGACTGTCTCCATCCTAATAGCTGGTTTCCTGATTTGATGATCTGTGATTGTTGATTAAGCACTTACCATGTAAGATTAGAGATTTAGAGCTACTAATTCCAGATTAGAAAACTATGCTGGCAGAAAGTAATGAAATGTGACTGTGTCATAACTGAATTACATATTATAACCAGTAACTTTTACATGAAGTTAAATTCTCATGACTAAGATGTTTTTGTGAAGTAAACTTTTTCATCATTGTTGATTACAAAAAAATTCATGGGCAATTAATCTCTTCAGGGTACAAATGGAGGTTCCTTTTTTACAGACAGTGGAAGCTGATGTGGAATTTGCATGGAGTGGGAAGACGTGGAGTAACATACGTTTACATTTCTGTGGGTTGTGTTCCTATCGTTCAGGGATCAAGACAAACCTGATTCACCATGTTCACACTCATACAGGAGCAAAGCCATACAATTGTCGCCTATGTGGGAAGAGCTTCTCTCGGAAGGAACATTTAAGTCGCCATATGGTTACTCATATGAATAGCTCTTGAGTGGAATCATGGGGGCAGTGCATGTCCACTACCTTGAAATATTTAGCTCTACTTGAGAGCGATATAATTTATCCTCTTACAAATTCAACTGAATTCAAAAGTGAATAATGTGTGGTGTTATTGTTCCTTCCTGTTTGAGTTTGGAGTTGGAGCATTTTGCCTACTCAACTCAATAAGGTTTTATATGACTCTAAAAAATGGAAATTGGTCCAATTCCACTGCATTTACTTTCATGAAAGGCGCTTCCATGCAATGTGTTCCTATTACTTTAAACTTTAATCATTTTGGGTTACCTTGAGATCAAATTTGTGACATTTTAGCATAAAACCTCAAGAAGGTGCTGAAATTTGAAATTATTTCTCTTTAATTTGCAAATAGAACCTTATTGAACTGACATGATGATTGCCTCTGAAATGGACAGCTTTCAGCAATTCTGTGAACATGGTTGTATGATGTGATTGCTCACATTTTTCTTGAAGGTTGTTCCATGCAACATGTGTGTGACAAGAAATACATACCTTGTTTTCACCATCCAAGTTTTTGTCAGTTTTGGTTACAAGCCCTTATACATACACTCTGAGCATAAACTGTTTTCATCAGGAACTTACTTCCCAATCTTCCGCTGACTTACTCATTTCCCACTCCCAGTCCTTGCCATTTTCTTTTTTTTTCATGAATCCATGTCTGAGAAGTGTTCACAAGTGAAGACTGAAGAGTAGGTCATGATGATGGGGATCACCCTGGTACTCACTGTCCACTTCTGCATGAACAAATGTGGAAATTGTTTCCCACATTTTCCCTTCCATGATGCATACTACTGTATATTCCCAAAAAGCATTACTGTATAATGTGGCACAGTATTGCAGCCATACCAGGCATATGGAACATAATGAAACTAAAGCAAAAAAAACTCATTCTGGAGTAACATCATGGTTCTGTAGCGTTTCAAACTCTGATCCCGTTTGTATAGATACCAAAATATCAGAATCGTAGTTTTCTTTTTTAAACTGGATTCCCTCGCAATAGCCATTAGCGGGTACATACATAATCAACTAATTAAAATGCAGAATCACTTCTGAGCATTTGCCAACACCGCGCGTTTCCATGTTGGCCCATTCAAGGAAAAGCAACCAAATCGAAAACTAATGATGAACAGGGGCCGTATTCTATTAAAATCTTAAACTTAGCTTAAGCAAATTGCTCAACCTCGGCCATGCATTTGAATGGGGCAAATACCACCTAAGCACTTTGCTAAGAGGAAAATCGCACTTAAGAACCTAATAGAATACGGCCCCAGGACTTCTTGTGGAAATGACAGTTTGAATTGAAATACATACGCCTTAGTTTTTTTTTTTTTTACCTGAAGATTCTCATGAATCATGAAAGCATGTAATTAATTAATTTATAACAATTGTAATAATTTAGTAACTTGAATCACTAGGGCCAGACAGTTCTCCAGCAGAACCATTGAGAAACAAGACATGTATCCCAGTTGAAGTCCAAGTGAATGACATTGATGATGGAGGTGTGTCAGGAGTTCTTGAATTCGGTGCCATAGTGTTTGTGAACCCTGAGGCAGTTGCTGGCATGCCCCCTTCAATTTGACTAAATATTCATGTGAAAGATTCATTGAGTCATTTATGGCAAGATATTGATAGCGACAGAAAAGCTAAGAATACATTTTTACTGTTTCGGAGAAAAGAGCGAAACATACAATGCAACGTAGCGAGATTTTTTTTTAGGAAAGTAACCCTTCAAGCCGTTCGTTTTCACGTACGCCATACGTGCATCACTTAGGAGGTCGAGTCAAAACTCAGTGCTTGAAGGGTTAAGTCACTTGAGAATTGTTTCCGCATGTGCGAAAAATGACCTATAAATTCGGGGTGATCAAATAGCAAAATTTAACATTCGTGAAAAGTAATTAAAAAAATTGATACAATTAAATTAACACGAAAATTTCTCGCTACACTGTATTTTGGGTTGTATCTGCACTCAGAACGGTAGACGAGGCTAAAAACTTGCATTGCATATTTTCAGGGATTGCAGGTGTCACCATGAACAGTGCGGGAAGAAAGAGGGCATATTGCTCCTGATTGGACCTACGTAACAAATAATCCTCACATAAAGTGAGCCTGTGTCATTGAATTAAATCGTCAGCTGAAAAGTAAATAAATAAATTTGCTATTGGTACGAGTTGGCAGTTGACTTGCACCTGATGTTAGCAGAGTAGAGTGAGGATCTAATGCGCATTCTGCAATTTATGTCATCGAAGGGTATGAGGATTCCTATCGAAGGCAGACACAAACAACTCGGTTTTAAGGAGTTTTAAATTCAAATATGAAGAGTCGTTTCCTAGGAGCACTATCACTTCCATAGGGACTAGTTTCGTGTTGAAAAGCAATGTGACAACTTCATCACTTTCTGCACGCTTAATTTTTTTTGCTTTGAGTCCAAGCACATTCGGGAGTTGTGAAGCAAAGCCTGCCCTCAGCAACGGAAAAAATGGCCGCTCGCGAAAAACCAGAAAAGAAGAACCAGCGAGTATTCGGCGGCGACCCTTCGAGATCCATCGCAGAAACCGGTGTTGCAAACGCGGAAACACGAGCCTCGAGGAAAGGCGGTTTGCGAGCTGTTCGCCTTGATGTCGACGCAGCCCGCCTGCGAAGTGGGGAGGCACCCGGCTGTCACCAACTTTCCTGCGAGAGCAGAATCGAGGGGGAATCTCATTTAGCGAGGTCGATAGGAACTTAGCATGTGGTTGCATCGCTTTTATTCGCTGCGGTTCACCACCCCATCTCCCGAAGATTTGAGCGAGATAGGAGAGCTACCGAATGCTTCATTCTCGTCCAGATGATGCTTAAAATACACATCGAAGTGGGGAGTGCAAGAGATGACAGTCGATCAGGACGTCCAAGCACGGCAGCACTCATTCGTCCATTTCGTAGCCTTCCTATCCATTCGTAAACTTTCCGTTGTCATGCACTTCTCATACTGAGTGAACATTCGTTTCTGAATATCAGCTGGATTAACACCTTTTGAACAAACACGGATAACGCGACTTCTCTTCCTTGATACACACAGAGTATACTCGCCATGCCAGGATTGGAGGGGATTGTAAAACCTGAGAAATGGGTGGTCCAGGACAAATGTTAGGGGTCAGTTTACCGAGTAGAAGTCACGGTCAATATCAAGGAGGAGCCCATGAACATAAAAATAAAACTTTTTCCGGCTTGTCCATTGGAAAGTGAATGGAGACACCTGTTGAAGCTCACTCATTCCGTACTTCATCGAATGGTCTCTCTTTTCGGGCAAGCCTCTTATCTTGAAGCTGTGGAAAAGGACTAGGTCTGAGCCCCATGTTAATATTAGTGGAAAGAGGCTAATAGGCTATTTTCTAACAGCCTATAATTAAGTCTTTGATCCTATGATGGATGACCCACATGGGACTGGATTACCCGAGAAGGCAAACCATATGGGGGATCCTTATCCCTTAGAGGAGGGGTCGGGAACATTTGGCTCGTGAGTCATACGTTCTGGCACTTTGAGTCAAGGATGAAAATTATGGTTGTTCCTCATTTTTCTCTTGTGTCAGAGAATGCATATGTCTGATGAAAATTTTCAGTTCTAAAAATCGTATGTTCACAAACGCTTAGCTCGATCTTAGTAAGGCTCACACGGTCAAAAAGGTTCCCGACCCCTGCCTTGGAGGGATAGCCGAGTCTCTCGCACTAAAAATACAGTGCAAATCTCTGTAAATTGTAAATTCACCGCTTGCGGTTAACGGCTCGATGAACCCAGGAAGAGCAAAAGGCTCAGCCCGAAAGGAGAACGCTCTACGCTCTTAAAACTTTTCAGGTAAAACCGGAGAAACAAGTTGTCCATTGACATGTGAAACCCGAGACGAAATATTTGCCTGATATTTTAAGGTGAAGAGGCTGCCAGTGCAGCTGACAAAGAACCCCTTACGAATAATTCCCATAGGATTCCCATAGGACACGAAATCTATCAGATTCCCATCGGAAATCTGTAGTTTTTTTCCAGGTTTAAAAAAAAAAACGTATGTTAAAATTTACAGGATTCCTGCCGGACATTTTCGTAAGGGAACATTTGAAGTTTCAGATAAATAAATCAATAAATCAATAAAATAAATAAATAAACAGATAAATGCCTCATGATGCCCTCATGCGCGCAACCGGTTTACGCCGTTGAATGATGTGAGAATTGATTTCAAAATAATCACAAACAAAACGGTCTTGTAGATGTCGTTTATTGAAATAGGATATAGCGAGAGGAGTCATTTCTGAGCAGCATATCAACATTTCTTCTTCGGTGAGTGAATTCGTGCATAAGTGAACGGTGAAAACACTGACACTTTTTGACACTTTGATTTAGATTTGATTTTTTTCCCCCCACATCGTTTCTTTTTCAGGAGACTAATTACACAGGTCCTCCCCCGAAGGTCCCCCAAAGCATGATATGATCTTACGATCTCATCTTGTCGTCTCAGGTCTAACCGGAAATAAAGAAAAATCCTTTCCTCGATGGGGTTGCAAATACTGAAAATGTCATACGTTTGATGACGAGTGCATTTTTTCGGTGCGGGGTAATGAACATTTGGTGATACAAGCACCTGTGATGGTACAATCATATTTGGAGAAATCAAAAGTAAGAATTTGATGACTGACTCCAATTTGGCGAAGATTCGTTGTGATCTGGTGGCGGAGTCAATATATTTGCGTGCTGAAAATATTTGGTGCCAAGTTCATTATTATTTGGTGGGTGATTAAATATCTTTTTTTTATCAGTGCAAGCATATAGCATTCCAGAAGAGTGAAGCAAAACCAGCCTTCAGAAGCGAACGAAGAGGCTGCCCACGAAACACGAGAAGACGAGAAGAACCAAAGAACGAGAAGAAAGGGTGGAGGCGTTCTTGGATCCGTTGCAGAGGTCGATCTTGCAAGCGCACTGGTAAGTCCCGATGCCCTGCGAGTTGTTGCTCGGCACGTCGAAGCATCCCGACTGCGCGGTGTCGGTGCAATCTCCGTACAGCAGCTTTCCTGAAGTGATCGAGAGAGAAACCTTTCATCGAGGTCTCGAGGTGCCGGGTTCGGGCCCGTCTAGCACTCGACATCGAGCACTAGAACAGATTGCTGCCGGAAATAAAAGAGCAAAGGACTACGACGGAACGCAGAAAGTGCTGCGGTCGCCGTGGGATATCGAAGCGATTTCGGGGAATTTATTTCCCGACAGCAAGGGTTCTCGTATAGGAAACAGGTTGAGTTTGAAAATCTGGTCGAGCGTCCCTTTTTTTAAATGGACAACTGGCATTCAATATGTATGCGTTAAAAGTAATCCTCCCTTAGTTATAGAGGAAATTTTCATCGAGCCGGATACCAACAAGAATATTTTTCTCTTTTGTGCTTTTTCTGCCGACCTTGGAACTCGAGGTAGGAAAACTATTCCGAATTCAAATCAAATTCTCCATCTTCTTGGTATACGACGATATACCGTATCGAACGACATTCTGACAAACTTGGCACTCGAGCATGAACCCGGGTTCAGCTCCACATCTTAATACTGGAGTTATTAAATATGATGCATGAGGCGCGATTCCCTGGACTTGTGGCACGTTCCAAGGACTCGACCCTGAAGCCTCGCTTCGCGCTCGCCTCACCTGAAAGGCTGGTTTCGTGAACAAGACTTTGATGAAAGGCCGGGCAAATAAATAGAGAAAATAACGCCTCGCCTCTCGCTTTCCCCCATTTTCTCGCAGGCAGGAAAACGAGACTTCTCGTAACGGTTCCTCCGGGCTGAATCCCCCCATATTAGAGAGTGTAACTAGAGGCGACACTCCGAGGGGTAGAGGAGGGTCGAAATATTACAGAGACATCTGGTGGTTTGTTATCAACAACACTTCCATGCAGCGTGCTTCGTGACAGCGGAATCGGGAAACGACTCATTCGAGGATTCGAGCCAAAGGGATCCCTCAACGTAACACGCGTGTCTCGTTGAGTCCGCTGCTCAGCCATGGAAGAGTTGTTGATGTGCGCCCGCTAGGTGGAGGATCGACAGCGACATCTATATTGCGACCCTGTCGATGAATGGGATCCGAGCGGAGTGGAAGCCTCTAGTTTCACTCTCTACTCTATGCCCAGACTGAGACGCGCACAGAAGATACGAGAAAAACCTCCTTCACCTCCTTTGCGATCGTACGCAGACACGCAGGCCGGGTTTCTGAAATTGACCGCACAGGTTTTCGTCGTCGTGTTCCCGCCATCGCAAGATGGTATGCCGGAACCCGCCGGTCCGCAGTAGATGCATTTCAAAGCACCTGTAAAAAAAATTGCAGGAGCTTTTTTTTTTGCAGGAACTTTCATTGCAGGATCGGTGTCGTCGATCACATCTATAAATATCATCTGTAAAGCCCCAATGATAGGACTTCTAATTATCTAATCTCCTACCGAATAATGATTCCCTTGCAACAAATGTAATCTGAAACAGTAACGAGATGGATTCCCTCAGAATGTAACCACTGTTGGGAACGAATGGGAATGGCGTTTCCATACTGCTCTCGGCGTGAGAACGACGTTCTCGAGCGTCTTCGTGAGGAAGTGGGAAGACAATCCCCATAGACATACCAAGAAATATCCATTTTAAAAAATTAATTGCAAAAAGGGCTCTTGGCATTATTAGCCACCCGCTCCAAGTCTATTGCGATAGAGATGTGGTTTCATCCATCTCCCCTAAGTCTTTTCCTTTCCCATATTTCTACAAGTGGATTCTCATCACAATATGTAATCTTTAACCAATAAACGAATCACACTTAAATTATTTTTCGTCGCTATTAATAGGTTCGAACTCGCTAATATGACTGGCCACAAGAAGGATTCAAGGCTTGTGTGAGTAAGTAACGGAATAATAGTTACATTTTCCTCCTCAAAAGGACTCCGATTACTGAGTGCAAATCACTCTTGGCGAAAACTTATTCCCATACTGTAACTATTTGTTTACTCACTCCTTTTGCATTACTTTCACGGAACTCAATCTCGTATCGTCGTGGCAAAAAAGTTTTTGCGAATTCTTGATTCCTTTCGCCGTAGCGGCGATGAGATCCTTCCTTAGTAGCATATAACATTGAAACAACGTTGATTCAATGTTGATTCAATTATATGGTACTAGGGTTACTATGATCGTCCATGTGCGTCCGTCTGCTTGAGTATTTTCGCACGTCACGTCAAGATGAATGCATGTAGAGACGCAGTCAGTTTTCGTGATTCCATCCAGCTTTCGTGGAAAATACTCTCTTGTTATTATTTCGTTCATAATTCGTCGGGCCCGATGATTTAAGCGCATCGACGCTCCCATGACCACGAAATCAACAAATGTTCCGCTCACGGCCGAAGGAAATGGCTCGGTTTACCTGCCAGAGTAGCCGATCCGACGACCGCGAAGGCAAGGAGCAGCTCCGCCCGCATCCTCTCGACTTCGAGGAAAAACCACGAAAATCACGATTAGCAGAGCCGTGTCCACGACTCCAGAATTTTGAAGTCCTGTTTTGTCGTGCCAGACCGTTCTCTGTGTTTGTTCTGGGTGCGTGAGGCGGCATTTCTCCCAACGTTACCGCACAGAAAACGAGAAATTCCATCCAGTTCCCCTCTTATTCATGAGATGAGTTTAACGAGAAGGACACAATTTAGCCGATAGACAGACGTCCCACGTGATACGCTGTGTGCTGTCATCCATCTCCGCTCTAAAAAAGTATTCATTATTTTGCCAGAACTGGACGGGAGCAAGAAGGTTGCCAATTCAAATTCCTTTCCACTCTGAAGCCTGCCTCTCTCTCTTTCTCTCTCTCTCTCTTTCTCTCTCTCTTTCTCTCTCTCCCTCATGTAGCAAGTATGGTGCATTCGAAAAGCACATCTCTCTTCGTTGCGATTGGGGTAAGGTACGTGCATACAGAATTTTCATTTTTATCTCGTGCAGAAAAATGATTTTTCTGATGGTGCAATTTCCACGCAGCCGACTCGAGCGCAGCAGTGTTAAGCAGATATTGATGCTCGAAAAGTAAATCCTGGTTTGTCTCTCTACAAGCGATCGATCTTTACCTTTTTTTTCCCAGAGCGGCGACATCTATCTGATTGGAAAGAAAGTTCTCGGAATTTTTTAAATATCCAGTACAATTTTTTTTCCAGAGCATGCTAGAATGTTCTGCGTGTGTTTATAAGTATAGCACTCCGTTGAATCGTCTCCAGGTTTGGGCAAGCCTTATGTTTCCAATTGTCGAAAATTTGTTGGTCTGATTTCTGAGCTCCATGTCAACGGAGATCGATGCAAACAATTATGAATATAACTTTTTTCGAAAGTATGATTCTGATTATTCCTGATTATCAGGCACGATCGATGACTTGCATGCGACTGGATTTCTCACGAATACAGATCAGAAGAGGATCCATGAATAATTACCCTTTCTCTCGGAAGAAGACAACGTAATTTTCTCAGGAAATGGAAATTCACTGCTTGAGAAACGAACGGAATGCCTGCTAGAAGAACTCCATGAGGGAAATGTTGACCGCGAAAGGGGAACAGACGGCTCTTAAAACCTGTCAGGAAAAGGATTCGACTGGAAAAGGAAAAGAAGAGGGCTGCCCGTGGACATGTCAAACTTCAGACCGTCTCTTTTCCTCGTGTTTTTAGGCAGCGACTTCCTGTAAGGCCTTAAATTTAGGGAAAATGCTGCAAGTTTTCGAGCAAACTAATGGGCAAAAACGAAGCCCGGCATTTCATTTGCCCTAACCAGTTATAAAACTTTTGATCGATTTCTTTAATTTTAATCCAGGGACAAAAAAATTCACGTGAAATTCTTGCTGCTCGTGGTGCAATCCTCAACATTTTCATGGGGTCTATGGAAGTACGTGGGCCTTTCTCTTCCCAAGGTAAACAAAAACGATAGGAATTATTGTTTTTCTAGATGTCAGAATGGAGCCCCATTTGCTTCCTGGTCGAGTGATTTCTTGCCTGGAAAAATCCCCTCAGGGTGACGAAACCGACTCGTCGAAAAGAACTTCCCCAGGACCAGTAGCACGCGCGGTGTACGAAGTCAGACGGTCGTCGGTGAACTGAGGGACATCGAGTCGCTTATACGTGTGCATGCCCTCTAATCTTGTCCACTTTCTTGGATGGGGATCCCCTTTCGACGGCCCTGCCTAGTGTTGTCCATGCATGTCCTGGATCCATCCGTCGAGGATCGATGTCCCACGAGGAACCCATTTTCTCCATTCTATTATTTCCTTTCGCCGCTGCGCTTCGATGAAGTACTCGGGTCAGCACCGGAATCGAAGGCAATTTGCGAACATGCCGAAGGTGTCATTTGCATTCGAAACCACGAAACCGACGCCTACCCAGTCGGTCACCTATTCTGCTGAATTCACGCCTCGGTCCAGTCATTGCCCTTTATTCCTATTTTCGATCCGTTAATTCAGTCGTCTTTCACAGCTACGGAAGATGAATTACATCATATCGTAAGTGGGAATGGGAGTTTCCCTTCTTGGAAGCTCTTGCAGGCAATACTACTACGAAATCGTCAGGCAGCCATCCCCAGTCTGCACAGTGACGTCGATGCAACGTTGTAAGGACGTTGAAGTTTCGATGCCCATCGTGTCGAGTCGACGTCGAACATCGAATCGACATCGTCTCGATGTGGAAATCAGACAGGTCTGAAGAAGCCGTTGAATGACCGTGCATGCGCCATTCGACTGTTGAAACACTTCGATGCATCGGCGCGATCTGAATCCATTCGCTGTCGATACGTAAGATGCCCCTCCCCCATCTCGACAGAGACTCTGCCGACATTAAAGAGAGGCATCCCAGACTCGTACAAGCAGGAGGATGATAAAACGATTGCAGCCGATGTAATAGCGGCTAGCAAACGACCCATGGAACCACCTGCGCCAAACGTATAAGCGGTGAAAGGACCTTTCGAGCTAGAGAGGGGAGGCTTCCGCGGAGTCATATCAAATAAGTGGACCTTCTTCTTTCCAAAACCAAGCGCAGAATTCTCCTGGGTCTCGATGGGTTGGATTGCCTCTTCCGTCCAATGTATCACGGAATTATAATTCCTCCTCCAGTGTTGTCTGTAGAGAAAATATCAAGTACCGTTCTAAAAGGACCTGGGTGGCGTGCCTGTTGCATATATGAGGTAACTCACTGTGTTGGCGATCTGTCGCCATCTCGATTCGGGGTCAGGGAATTTTTTTTTTTTAATGCCTTCTCAGACGTCTCGCGCAACATCTCTTGACGTAACGTCGACCGGACAGTAACCGAGTAATATTGATATTTTCAACATCGTGTCGACCTTTATAATACATTGGATTATCAGCATCAACATCCCCTTAAAATCATCGAACATCTTTTCAACGTTAAGTCAATACTGTCGTGCAGTCAGGGCTGTTATCTTGGAATCCGAGGGATTTTTCATATTTCCATGCGTTCATGTCGTTAGGAAAACATTTTCTTTTCAGTTTCTTCTTGATCATAAAATTGTCCTAGAGTTGCTTCATTATGTGGTCGTATCGAAAGTATGCGGAACTGTCACGAAGAAGTAATGCTGTGGCCAGTTTGCTGCCTAGCATAATTTGCTTAAATGGAGTTTACAATTTTTTTAAATAATCAGATCACAGGCACCATCACCGTGTTGGGCCCACGTTGACCACGAGAAGAGGAGCATGGGCCAACATCCCCGTGGGCTGCCCAGGTTGGCACCACTTCCGCGCTTCTAAGGTAGCCAACATATGTCCCATTTGCTGGGGAGCCATTTATCTCATCGATGCGAAAAATCAAGGTTCCCACACGTTATGGGAGATGGCGCAAAAAATAGATATCTCGAGGTATCAGGAAGTGATTCAAAGTGAGACCTCGGTACTCTTCATGCAGTACCTGATTTTTTCCCCCAGCCCACGCAGGCGAAGACCTAAATTTCTCAACTTAAACATGTTAAACAGTCCAGGGAGACTCCCCGCAATCTAGGAGGAAGCAATGTTCATTTAGGGGTACCTGACCAGATGGAATGAGAAGGATTTCCTCCTTAAACTTTCCATTGCGGTAGCTGCTCCGGGTTCCTCATCCGGAAGATCCGAATGAGATGAAAAAGAAAATCTCATTGGATCTTACCGGGACTTACAGAGCGGGAGAAGATCGAGATTTGTGAAGGATGAAATCACAGCGGGATTCTATACCCGTGTGAAATGCGAATGTTTCAAGATAAGAGTTGTAAAATTACCGGTAATGTATTAATTACCCGTAATTTACAAGTAATTTATCGGTAATTACTGGCATTTTACCAGTGTATTACCACTAAGTTACCGGTGCTCCACGAGTGCCATCTTAAGCAAAATATTTAATTTTTTTTAAAGTCCCAATATCTTCTTTTTCAACCATATATAGCTAAAGCAACATCCCTCTCGGGAAATCTTATAAGAAACAAACTATGGCAGAGAACTATAGAGATGAGGATATAGTGTGCTGCTGAATCTTTTCAATTTTTGCCATATTGAGCACCAAAAAAAGGCCAAATCTAGAAAATGCGCTAAAAGTATAGGTAAAATATTTCAAATATATAAATGAACTGCCCTCGCTGTCAAAACCTGATTCCTCTAAGTTTCCAAATGCCTACTAACTCAAGAGGTCAGGTTTACGTGACCCTTTCCTTTAAAGATCACTCCGGAACTGCCAAAGAAGAAGAAGAAGAAGCAGTGTTTAGATGGCAGGCGAACTTGAATCACCTTTCACCGCCTTTCACCCTTTCCATCATGACCTTGGAGATAGTCCAAGCTGTTTAGTTGCACGCATCATGAATGATACGGTCTTTGAAGGTGTCTCATTACGCGAAGCAGAAAGCTACTTCAGAAAATTATTCGAAAAAAAGAAGAGCGGTGGAGCATCCTCGGCCACGAAAAAGAAAATGGCCGGGATTCCAGTGTCCCATTCGAGACAGAGTCATTCATGGATCTCCTATCATGGAATTCCTTCCCCAGCCAGAAGGGGAATGAGACAGGGCCGTAGGGCATGCGAGGAAACATGCGAGGAAGCCAACTGAGTTACGTCTCATACGTCTTCCCACTGATATAGTACTACAGTATACTAGTACTATACACGGACGACTGTTGCTGTATTGCCCTACAGGCCCACAAAGATGACGGCTATGGCCGTCTCGTCCGTCGACGTCTTACGTACTCCTAATGAGCTTCTTTGGATTTTTTAAAATTCATTCAATCAAATTTCACACGATTCACATGGGTCATTCTAAACAGCAATCCGTTCTGAACTTCATGGCGTTTCCTAAAACTATTCAAAACAGATTTAAATCTGATCCAGAAAGCCCGTAAGGCTGAACCGATAATGATTAAAAATAAACTCACCTCTGCTATGAATGCCAAAATGAAAGTTTTTAGTCTAAGACTGAACTCGTTTCAGCCTAGGT